ACCCTTTGTCTTTTTTAAATCATCACTCAACTTCAACAAAAACCTCAATAACATGTCTGACAGTCAAAGCCACATCAACCCCCTCCTTCTTTCGGCTGCAACAGGCGAGGATACTTCTGACGTTAACCCCCTCCCCGGTAAAACTCAAGACAATGTCACCTCGCCTGTGGAAACTGCTCCATCAACCACTCCGTCTGCCAGTCTTCATTCGCTAGCGCCGCCTCCCGAGTTATCGTATAGGACCCGGGCGCAACTAGATGACGCAGTTCAACAGTGGGCGTTGGACCATGGCTATGCGCTCAAGAAGACCAACACTACAACTCAGAGGGGGGAGGATCGGGTGACTTTTAAATGCGACCGTTCTGGCGAACCGGATGAACCAAACCCAGACAAGTTGGGCAAGTCCAAAAAGATCGGCTGTCCCTTTCGAATGCTGGGCAACTTCTACAAGAGAACAGGAACCTACCGAATCACAATCAAGAATCCCAATCACAACCACCCCGCTTCGGAGGATCCATACATTCATCTGATTCACAGACGATTGACTGATTCCCAAAAAGAAAAGGTCACAGAATTAACGCACGCCGGTGTCGCCCCCTTGAAGATTAAGTCGGCTTTAATTCAAGACACAAATAACCCGTCGCACGCCACCCTCAACACAATTTACAATCACCGAAACCAGATGCGCATTGACCAGCTTCAAGGACGCACTCCGATTGAGGCTCTGGTTCAACAAATCCGGGACCATCAGTTTTACTTCATGATCGACAATGTTGAAGGGCACATGACCTCGTTCTTTTTCGCTCACCCCCGTTCGCTTGAATTAGTCAAACGCTTCCCGACCACGATCCTCCTCGATTGTACTTATAAGACAAACAAGTTCAACATGCCGCTGCTTCATATAGTTGGGATGAATTCATGCAATCGGTCATTCTCGGTCGCTTTTTGTTTCCTCTCCGCTGAAAAGGAACCAAATTATACGTGGGCCCTGGAGCATCTCCATCTAGCGATGGATAAAGAATCCCCCTCAGTGATCGTCACCGACCATGAACAAGCGGTCATAAATGCGATCAAGAAAGTCTACCCAAATGCCAACCGTATCCTGTGCTCTTGGCACATTTGGAAGAACATCGAGAAGAATTGCCGGAAGCATTTCAAAAGCGAGGATAAATGGTCAACGTTCGAATCAGCATGGAAGAAATTGAGAATGTCGCCAACATTGAAGGAGTACGAGGAGAATTACACCGAGCTCTCCAAATTGTGGACTCCAGATACGGCCGCCTACTTGATCTCGGTAGTCCTCCCGCTGAAGGAGCACTTTGTCTCTTACTTGATCGATCGGCACCCACACTTTGGAAATCACATCACATCCAGAGTTGAAAGTCTCCACGCGTACCTCAAAAGATTCATCAACTCCTTGACAGGCTCATTTCCCGCTGTCGTCAAGCAGATTCACCAGTCCCTCGAAAGCCAGCTGCATGAAAGATACATCGAATCGGCCCAACATCAGTACAAAAGACTGACCGGCCTTCCTCCGTCAATTGCCAATCTTAATGGAATCATCTCCCACTTTGCCATGAGGATTGTTCACTCATTTTACGTGGCCAAGGCACCTACAACCGAATATACAGGTAACTACTCGTCTTTCATGGGGATTCCGTGCATCCATCAGGTCCACAACGCCACACTTGAGGGAGCCAAGTTCACCGCAGACGATTTCCATGCTCAGTGGCATGTCAAGACTGATCTGGCTGTAAGTTCCTCATTTATCAAGGGAATCCCCATAAATTTTGCAGATGTATTCTGATTTATTTTGTTCACACATCTGATCATTTGACAGGTGCAACTTAGTGACAACCAAGATGGCACGGAGACACAGCAGAAGAGCCATGAAGATGCGTTCCTCAGCGAGGCCTTTGAAAAATTCCAATCCCTTGAACCTGGCGAACAACACTTCATGCTAGGCGAAATTCACAAACTGCTTGACGGAACACATACAACCATTCCACTCGAGGAACCCAAGTTTGACAAGAACCATCGATTCAAGGGCCGACCCAAAGGCTCCAAACGGAAACACAAATCGACATCATCAACCAAGAGGGACCCATCAGGATTTGAGTACGTCGAGGGGCAGAAGAAGAAACGAGGCAGGCCAAAGAAGGTGGCCAAATTGGACGAGGGGCCCAAGCGCAAACCTGGGCGACCAAGGAAGAAAGCGGCAAAAAAGGATGACACGGATGAGTCAGAGGTGTGCATTGCTTATATCCTTCAAAAGATCTTTCCTGATTCTGATTAATTTTTGCGTAGGCCATGGAAACAGATGGAGAGAGTGAGGATGAAGCTTCAGATGAAATTGGAGCCCTATGTGAAAACATATTCACCGAAGAGGAGCATTTGGAAGAAGAACCAATTCCCTCAACCGTCAAGAAGCCCTTGCAAATTAGGCCAATCAAAGCGGTCAAGCAGCCTCCCGAACCTATAACTGAAGTGGACGAAGCTGACGAAACCCCTTTGAGTGAGGCACTGACTTGGAGTACATACGAGAATGTGGAGATTGACCTTGTGAGTAACTCATCTACTTACTTCTTTTTCACATTGTTCATCCCCTCTGTTTCCCTCTTAAACTTTGGTTAGTATAAGCACAAAGACAGCATCAAGCCGGCTGGAGCAATTGCACATATCTTACACGTTCACGACGTCAGAGGCGATGGGAACTGTGGCTTCCGAGCGGTTGCGGTCAGCTTGGGACGTGAGTCTGATGAATGGGACTCAATCCGCAAGGAAATGCAGAAGGAATTCGAGTCGAACGAGGCCTATTCGGACGAGAAGTTCTTGGAGAATGTATGGGGAGCAGGGGACGACCGAAAAGACGTCATCGAATCTCTTGCATGGAGAGACAAGGCACAGCAAGCCCCCCTCAAGTACTGGATGACGTTCCCAGCGCATGGTTATTTAATTGCCGATACGTACCAAAGACCAGTTATTCTATTATCGGAAAAGATGCCTGCAACTTATCTTCCTCTTTTGCATACCCAGAGAAACAACCCTCCCATCTGTCTGATCCTCTTACCAGACCTCTCTCATTTCATTAGTTTCACTTTCAAGGCTGAAATATGGCCTTGCCCCAGGATTGATCCTTTTTGGAGACACTATGTCAGGGATGAAGCGCTGGGTTGGGAGGATTATATTCAAGCCCACATTGAACTGGGTCAAGAAGTCTTGTACCCACCTGTCAGAAGATCTACGCGCTTCAAAAAGGCTCCTGTTGATGTTGATTAATTTTTGAATTACTGTTCTCCGTACCTTCCTCTGATTTCCTGCTTGTCTCCCTTTTAAAATCCAAACTACACTTGTTTATTCCCACTCTCTTTTGCAAATTTAAATTTGGCCTCATTAGAATATTATAGAATTTTGTGTCTTTTTTTCCATTGAGAAATTCAAGTTCGGAAGGTTGAATAACCACTGGGAACTTTCCACCGTGCTTGCATCAATAAAATGAGTGGGAGCCAAACTTAAAAGGCAAAGTACTCCTTTTGAAGCAAAATAAATGTTACCATTCATTTCTACACCTTTCAAAGTGTAGGAAACAAATTTACAAAGTCAAAAAAGAATTAAAAACAAGCGGGTAACAATTAATAGGAAAAATGAGTGGGAATGGAAATTCCAATGCATAAAATTCATTTTTATGCAAAATAAATTTTACCATTGAATTCTACACCTTTCAAAGTGTAGGAAACAAATTTACAAAGTCAAAAAAGAATTAAAAACAAGCGGGTAACAATTAATAGGAAAAATGAGTGGGAATGGAAATTCCAATGCATAAAATTCATTTTTATGCAAAATAAATTTTACCATTGAATTCTACACCTTTCAAAGTGTAGGAAACAAATTTACAATGTCAAAAAATAATGAAAAACAAGCCGCTAACAATTAATTGAAAAAATGAGTAAGCAGAAAAAAAAAAAAATCAAAGTCATTTTTATGGTAAATGGACTTTACCATTAAATTCTACACCCTTCAAAGTGTAGGAAAAAATTTTAAAAAATCAAAAAAACTCGAAATTAATGGCAAAAAAAAATTAATTAGAAATGCGGGTTTAAAAGCGGAATGCGCGTGTGCTGTGCCGCAGCAAAAGCGCGTCTAAACGCGGAAAATGCGGGTTTTTTTATTAAGGCCCAAAAAATAAGGTACATACATGTATGCAAACAATTAATTGAGAAATGAGTGAAAAAAAATAATTAATAATCAAAATTCATTTTTATGAAAAATGGTTTTTACCATTAAATTCTAAGCCTTTTATAGTGTAGGAAACAACTTTAAAAATTCAAAAAAACTCGAAAAATAAGCCGTAAAAAATTAATTGAAAAACCGCGTCTAAATGCGGAAACCGCGTGTGCTGCGCGCAGCCAAAACCGCGTCAAAACGCGGAAAAACCACGTTTTTTTATTAAGGCCCTTTTTTTATTAAGGCCCTAAAAATAATATGAAGATAAAATAATAAGTAAAATAATATAATGAAAGAAACCATTGGACTGAGGGGGTATTTGAGGTGATAATATTGAAATCTTGAGGCTTGAGGATATTGAAAAGTTGAAAATTGAATTCTGAAATTCAACCTTGAGGGGGCCTGTACCGTTTAGAACACCACACCAGACCAATAAAGCATGGTGAACCAACAGGAACAGTGTGTAAAATTTTTGGAAGGGGCTTATTGTGTTTTCATGAATGGTTGGAGCCTCCAACTTTTTTGTTTTCAGTGTTTGTCCAACAAGAATGCACTTCACTGCATATGCACTTTGAATTGGGGCTGGCCAAAAAGGAATCAGACCAGATCTGACCTACATGTCACCCGCAGTCAAGCCCCAAAGTTGATGCAATCTTCATGGTCAAGATTGGATTTGCCACAGGTTACAGACCAAAAATTCAGCCACTGTTAAAAATGTTGATGATCTCTCCTGGAATTTGCAGTGAATTAGTTCTAGATGAGGTCATCCAAATAACTTAATCTTGACCTTGAGCAAGTAAATGATCGAGATTTTCAAGGTTGGTTGTCAAAAACTGGGAAATCCAAAAACAAATGTGTAAAGTTTATCACATATAAATTGATATTTTGAGGAGCAAAAGAATTTGTAAAAGATCAGAGGCTCCAACCATTCATGAAAACACAATATGTATTTGGGTATGTAGCAGTCAATGAGGGAGGGGAGGTACCGCAACTTGGAAAAAAAAATCGAGGCCGGAATTGGCGGGAGTATCTGAGATACATATTGAAAATCTCAGATATTCAGCCAACCCCCGCCATCTGGGACAAGAGGGCCCCCGGGAAGCGGGAAGTTGCGCTCGTGGGGGGGGGGGGTCTTTAGGGTGGCTTTGGGTAGGGTTCACGGGTGTTCTCCCCAGCAATTTCGTGACATGATCATGCAATCGACATTGTCTAGCTGGATACAATAGTGGAAATCAATACACAAATTTCAAAAGTTATTTAACAATCAGCGAGTGGGTTTCAGGTAAAGATCGAGGGAGATGTGACATTGCTCACCGGTCCAGTAGGCTGAAGAAAAGCTCGGCAACAATTTCTTTTTGGCCCTAATCGTCCGGCACCAGGTTTTTCACACACCCCCTGATCCGTCGGATAATGCACTGTTGTTGTTGAATGACATGTAGCCAGAATACTTAGCCAAATTGAGACACAACAGGTAGATGAGTTCCTCGAGGTCAAACGAACGTACGTCTACAATCCTTAACCGCGTTACCGCCTGCACTCGCAGTTGTAGTGCACCATAGGGTAGGATAATCAGAGGGACACGCGGCGGGAACTTGCATCGGTCCGAAGAGTGTGGCAAGAAAGATGAGTATGTTTAATTTGATCAGGAGAGACATTTGAAAATTATCAATGCGGAACAGCTCGGTTGCGAGATGGTGATAATCGTTTGGAAATAAAATGTGACCACAGAAAAATGCGTCTAATCAGATCAAGTCCGGAGTTGATGTGTGACAAGAAAGATGGTCAAGAATATGGTGCGCAAATGCGGGAGGGACCGCCGTGCACGAAAGAGTTCCCTGCAATTTATCGTGTACGAAGGCGCAGAGTGAGTCGTCTCCACCAGGAATTCATGGGAATATGTACCTAGCTTTATAACAAAGCCCCTCGGCTCGTCGGGCCAGGTTGCCAGGCAGGCGCAAGCGCCCCTCACAAAGCAAGCCTCCAAAGGAGAGGCTTGCCAGAGATGTCGTAAACATTTCAGCCGTGAGCTTTTCAGTTTTTGGTGGGAGAATCTTGCCTTGATGTTTTGGGCAGTGAATACACAGTTGAACTTGCAACTTGCGGAGGTGTCATTATATACATTCCTTGGACGTGTCGGCTTGTGCCCATGGAATCGACTCAAGCAGATGACCTTGCCAACTGCTAGGAAAGGGGCACGAAGTATCCAGTGTTTTCATTTTCCCAGAGCTCAACTCAAGCCTCATGAGCAAGCTGAGGCCCCGGCAACAGTAGCGCAACGGGACAGAGGCAAGGTTGCACTCGGGTGCCAGCTCTGCTCATTGCTCCAGATTGTTCATAATATTTTTGAGTGGAGTGTCTTGTAATCCTCCGTTGGAGAGTTCCCTGCGGGAAAGTGCCCCCCCCCCCCCCTTTGAATAGAGGGATTGGGTTAAGTTGGGTATGTAAATATGCCACTTGGTAGTATATGTTGCACTGCTTAGTACCATAACAAGTCTGTCATTATGATCAACAGATTTCAACAAGATGATGATTTTTGATACACCGCATTATAAGGTATTTATTGTGATGGAAACGTGCTTATTTGATCAAAATTTCATGCAGGCCTCCCTGCCAACCCCTCACTCTGGTTACATCATCAATACTAACCTGCCATCTTCGAACATATCTCAATATATCACAGCAGATCACAGCCAAACAAACACATCAGTGTCAAACAGAACACTGTTAACTCCTGAACCATATCGACAATCAGTACTGCTGGGTTTAAGGTCGTCATCCTGATAGACAGCTGATAGAAAGCACAAGACAAGGATGGGAACGATTGTTGGGAAGCGACCATCATGGGTTGTTGGGGGAAGCATGTCACTTGCAGATTTTTGATGAAAATTAATTTGAGGAGAGATGTATGAATATGGATAAAAAAAGGCAAGACGATAACAACCGAGCTGAGAAAAGTTAAATAAGATGGAGGAGTTATCATGCCAAATGAAAGAGAAAAAAAAGAGACTGAGAATGACGTCTGTGATTTTTGATGTGATAATAAGCTGGTGAAAGGAAGCTCAGGAAACTGTTACGTAACTGTTAGGTGATGGAAGCAAGAGTGAGAGAGAGAGATGGACAAGCTGATTACAAAAAAAGGAAGGAGAGAGAGAAAACAGGATGCGCTGATATATGGATTACACAAACAAGCTCTACAAAATGAAAAGGAAGAAAGGAAGGAATCCAAAGAAAAGGAAGAAGAGAGTAGGAATTTTGGGATCAGGAGGCCCAAGCATCATACCATCTCTTCCAGAGTCCAGGGGACGATTGAGCCGAGCCACTATGTTCTTCTGGCAAGGAGCGTTTGGATTTTTTTGACTTGGTGGTCAGTTGGTTAGTGGGAAGCATGTCGGGTGGTCGAGTGACGAGATAGAGTCTGGGGAAGAGCGCGTTGTCAAATGCTTGTAGCTGCAAGTTATAGGCTAGAGTGAGGGGGAGAAGGGGGGAAGATGGCAACGGTCAATTGATTAGACTAGATCTTGTGGAAAGCAAGTCGATTATTGCATGGGTGCATGTGCGTAAGGATGAAGGATGGACGTACTGTTGTGATGAGCATCGTTGAAGATTTGCCAGGTTTGATATAAGCCTGGTTGGTAGTAATAAGTGATGATTGAGGTTTGAGCTGCACAGGGGTCTTGGATTTGGATGCGGCCATCCGCCTCGATGGGCTGGGTAGTCAATGAGCCATTAGCTTCGAGCGTGTATCGACCATGTTGCCATAGAACAATCGCCTTGACACAGTTAGGTCTCGTACCTAGATAGACAATCAAAAAAAAAACGACATTAAAAAGCCCATATTGGAAGAAGATTCTTTTTTTGGGATGTCGGAGGGAGGTCTCTTACCGTTGGAGACGAATCTGTACTGCGCCTCTTCCCAGAATCCATCGCTAGTAAAGCTCATCGAGATCCCAGATGTAGGTGGGTAGTTGAATGAGAAGTTAACCGGGTTAGCGAATCCCTGTAAGTGACAAAAAGGATAGTTTTTTTGGGGGGGTTAGCAAGTTGAAACTGAGGAAGGGATCTAGAGGAAGAGAGAAGAATGGGACAAACAGCACCGGTCCTGACGGATCCCCAGCCAGAGGACCAAGTTCCACTGAGATCGGTCACATTCGAGGTCATGTCATGTTGAGCAGAGGCGAGCAATACCAGAGAGGAGATTGAGAGTAGTGAGATCAAGCTTGAGGCCAAGGTCTTGGATAGTTTTGAGGATGCTGATTTGGTTTGAGGGTGTGAATGGTGGGTCATCGTGTTCTTTCTTTCTTGATGGGTTTGGTCTTGGTTGTTGGTGGTGGGTTTTTTCTGTTGGTGGAGGGGGAATGGTCAAGAGACTTGCCAAGCACGATTGTATGGATTATGGATTTAAAGCTGGTGGTGAACTTGCTGGATGTGAAACGCTGTGAACATGGAGTGTGAAAGATGGTGAATTGCTGTGTGTTGGGACCCGGGATGGTTTGGTCGGCTCGACCAGCAGCCTCGCCCGAGGCGGCTTACAGAGGGCTCCAGCCTCACCCGGACTGCATCGCGGGGGGTCAACTCTCCATCCATGATCCAGCCGAGCCCCACATCTTGAAAAATAATTTTGTCTCGAAGGCTCGGCAGCTGATCAACACCTCCACTTCCAATTACGAATTTACGAAAAAAACGATTAGTATACCTTCAGGATGCCCGTACCCATCTCGCACGACCAGGCTCAACAGCAGTCGATCATCCAGAAAAGTAAGTCCTAATCAATCAGATGTGCATACTTAGTTAGCGGCATAGTGATACTCATTGACTTTTTTATCCTTCGACGGCTAGTGGGAATGGGTGCCGCGATGGGGGGTGCAGTAGGAATGACTCTGTGAGCATCCTCTTCTGCTTGAATCTCACGACGGCTTTCTCTCAAATGTCTCAACTCAGATATTCCTAATCCTGATTTATTTATACGACCACGTATTTGTCCGAACTTGTAGAGGATTTTTATTCGGTGGATTTGCGATCATCAGTCGAGGCGCAGGCCCCAGAGGCCCACTGAACACACTCGCAACTTACATGGCATCTAGTGGCGGAACATTCGCTTTTTTCATGTTCGCCTTCCTTTTTGCTCATTTTACCATCTCAAATTTTACCAGCGCTACACTTCACTAAATTGGCTCTGTCTCTTAGGTCTATCGGATCCGTCATTCGCACTGAATCCCAACCATCCTTGACCCCGGCTCAGTTCTCCTCCCTACAATCTCACTGGCGTTCACGGCACCTTCACCCTGTAGAAAAGTCGCCCATTCAACGATACCAATAATCCGAATATGTATCAAGCGTTCGTCTCTCAGACGCCTCAAGCTATCTTTTTTCCCCAACCTGCTTTGTGCAATCTCGTTTTTTTTTTCTTTTACAAAATCATTTGCAACAACTCTCGCCCCTAGCGAACCCTTTCGACAAACAAGCCATTCCAGACATGTGGACATACTTTCCCTGGAACTTAGGAGAAGGCGTAATATAAGATCGATTGAGGTCAATTAGTTATGCATGATTTCGGCCTGGGTATATCCATCACTATGAGAGTACAATCGTTCAAGTCAACTCGCTTGTTCATTCAGCAAATATGACTCTCATTGGAGCAATAGAGGAAGAGCTCGCATTACAAAACATAGTCATCACCAGTCTGGATTCCCATATTCACTTCTTTATTCGGCCTTTGTGGGGACTGATGGGGTGTGGATCAAATGTGACCTGTATCTTATGCCCATGATATAACACATGTGCTGCTCCAAAAGGTCAACAAGTCTACTCCGGTGCCGATCACTAGAAAAAGTGGGTCATCCAACCTCACGCCAACCAGGTCTTTGGAGTAACTATATCATTGAGCTGATGCGTGTTCAACTTGTATCCATGAATCACAAAAAACACAAATATCAGATTCAAAGTACCCATTCAAGTCGCATACGTTCTTGTAAATTGGGTAAATAAAAGTCTCGCTTGCCGGCTAATCCTGGCGGTCACCGCGAAGGAAAACTCAGGGCGTTGCGCGAGAAGTAGCGTTTCAAGCGTGGGCAGACAAACCTTGAGCTCAACTTGAGCTTTTGACACGCAGCTACAATTGCCTTAACCAGAAACGGATTCATCAGGAATTATACTTCTCCCGCTGCCGCTTAGTCAAGCTCGCCGTTCTTGAGGGACAATTGTGGGCCGCTATAGGCCGAGCGCAGCATGCGTGTAAGCGTGGCTGACGGCGTATATCGGTATGGGCATAGGTGCTGATCTTGATCCATGGGAACTCGAACTATCGGAACCAAGTACTCCGGAGTCTGAGGTTGCAGGAGGCTTTCCGCGCTAAGCTTTTGGGGATGGGTTCCTTAGATGGAGATCCATTTCTCCGCCCGGTACAGTAAAAGTAGACGGAAAGACACTGATCAAGTTGTGAGTCCTAGATGCACAAAACACAAGGCGAAACTATGTACTTCAAGCTTCTTGCCGACACAAACACCCACTGTACATATCGAATAGCAATCATAGATAAGCCCCCGAGTTCGAGCAGATGGAAAGATAAGGAGTTTCAGATGATTTTCTTGTACCTATCAATCGTACCTATCCTATTCTCATTCTTTTATCTTATCGCACTTCAGATTCAATATTGTTTTACCGCTGCGCGTGGAGTCACTGACCCACATGCTTACCTCAGTCTGGGGTTGGCGATAGGGGAACTTGCGGCTCCACTGCCCCCTTTATTATCAACTTGTCATTGAGCAAATGTCAGACAAATGTAATGTGCAGCTACCTTTTTCATCCATGCTGAAGATTCTGTATAGCGATGCGCAACTCCTTAATCTCGCGGAAGCCTCAATCAACTTTGCGCCCTTGATCATCCCTCCTTGAAAAAGAATGGGAAGGTGCTGTTTACTTAAGCTCAAACAGCGCTCAGAGCCAGCCCAACCAGGCCCCGAAACTTGCGATAAGCTTTTTATCGTATCGCATGCTTCACTCCCAATAACATCTGACGAACCTCCACCAGATACCACGTACCGAGCCTAAGAAAGACAGTCGTATACTACCGATTTTACTTTGTAATTATGTACTGTGATGCCGGGGAGAAGGGGGATAACCTGTATGATTTCAGTTTCCGCCCGCTCCAGGTTAGGATACTAATTCCACTATCGAACGATACGATCTATATATACGGTTTTGAAAACTCCACCGACGCGAGGTATTCGTGCCCCAAGCGTGATTACTAATCGTCTTATCGTACAATTCGTGAACAAGACTGCTTTCTGACGACAAGGCAATAAATAAGGGTCACGAAGAGACCACAAGGCCGCTTCGTTGAGAACATCAGCAAGCAGCATCTAACCCCACCATCTTCGCATCCTCCTGCTTTCATTTGGCCCTCTACCTTTATTTTCCAGTCACACACTCATTAAAACGCTCAGTAGAATATTTGTGATCCTAATTTGTTAACTTGTTGCGATTATTCAGTACTTTCAACATGTCCAAAACCATTCAACTGGCTCTTCTCACCATCGTAGTCGGACTGCTCTTCAGCTGTGCACTTGCTACAGCAGGGATCATTCATGAAAAACGCCATGTGGGAAACCTTTCATCCCGAAGGTGCGTAGTCACACTTTCTACTGCTTTAATTATCATCCAGTTTCGTTTCGGATGGTTTCATTCAACCTTGATGATTGAGATTTAAGTCCATCCTGTTGGTTTTACAGAGTATTGACTGATGAACTTGCCATGACCTTTATGATTTCTATATGCAGGCTGATAAAACGAATGCCAGCTTTCTCGACAGCCTCCCGACAGTTTGGAAAGGTTTCAAAAACCATCAAGGCCACTGCCACACAGGCTGCAACATCTTTGGAAAAAGCAGCCGACACGGGATCATCAAAAGGACATCCACCTGGAGGAGCAGCGGAAGCACCAAGCCAGCCGGGAACTTATTGGACCACCACAACATATCTTGGAGATAAAAAGACTCGTCCAGGTAGTTTGTCGCTCTGGGACCCTGAAGGGAAAGAAAATGAGCAGGTCGACACTTGATAAGGTTAACTGACACAGCCCCCCAAATTTAAAGAAACTTGCGTAATTATTTATCATTATTTTTATCTAAAGCTCTTTCTCTCTCTCTCATTCGCAATGGATATATCCCATCTAGATCAGTGTTTTTTTTTTACTGTGGCTTATTGCCAATAAAATATATATGATGAGCAGGGCAAAAATATATGTATATAGAAATCCCAACGGGAAAGTCGCCTTCCCTCAATAGACCTCTGACATGTCTATAAATTTCTACATTGCTTATATTCATCCAATAAGTTCTCTCATCATGTTTATAAAAAATGCAATGAGCATAAAAAACATCTAGAAATTTTGCTATAGATTTGAACAAGGCTTCTTCCCTCCATAGAGCTGTGATATGTTTATAGATTTCCAATATGGCTTCTAACTTTTTCCGAGGTCCATCTGCGAAGTTTTTGCTACTCATACATGATTAGGGGAAAAATGCTAGAATAAAGATATGAAAATCGAGCGATCAGACAGCAGCTGCGCTACCCAAAAGAAATGATGCATACGGTAATGAGGTGGATGAATAGAGAGAGAGAGGGCACAAAATATAAGCTTCAATTGTTGCTTTGGAGATCAAAGATCAATGGGTATGTTATCCCTCACATGCGGAAACACTGCAGCAGAAGACGGCCGTAAGCCAAGGGCCTGATGAGAAAAAAGCATCACAAGAAAATAAAGGCAAAAATCAACGCGTTGCCTTAAAGACTGTTAGCGCTCCCAGTGCTATTGAAAAATGGATAAACCTGGAGTAGGGGTTCACCATGACCGGACCGGTGACCCTAGGGTAAGTTTCATTTCCCTGCGGAAATCATGCTTTGAAAAATACTGACTGTGGAAAAGTAGAATGGAATTCAGGAACAAGAAATCAGCATCCAGACTCAATGTGGCTTAATAAACTAAAAATATTTCATGTCACAATAGCTTCCCTCACATACTTTGAAGACTGGAGACTGAGAACCATGACCTTGAGACGTCAGTGGACCCCGTCTTTGTGGAGTGATACAGATCGATCCAACATTGATATAGACAACTCTCTGTAATTTTTTATCGCCCTGCTTATTTCGTCTATCGGCGGCCCCAGGTGGTCTAACTCGACTCGTTTGGAAGGGCTTGGCCGCCTGGCGCGCTCGAAGCGGCCGCAGGGCCGATTTGCATCATTTTGAGGGAAGTGATCTCTGCGAAGGCGCCAGGGGGTTCGGAGTCGGACGCAAGCTATAATAGACTTCTGTGTAAATCAAATTGCCTCCAGAGTCGACATATTGTACTATAACTTCCCTAAGCGGCTGCTTCTTACCTTCGGTTACCAACACGGTAGCGCTGGATGTTAAACAGGGCTTTATCCCTCAATCGTAACATTCACATTATTTTTTCCAACAGACTATGTCTGTGGTGAATTTTGCCAGTGGCCTGATAGTGCACTCTCTTCTTGCTAATACTACTCTCAAGAAACCCCCGTTGAGAATCCTATCTCGCTTTCGATCCAATCAATGTTTATCAGCAATCTCACACATTCTTCTGTTGAGCTTAATTTCCTGTTGCACTCCAGGTCATCCTGAACCAGGGAAAGTCGCGCCATCTGCTCAAAACAAGCAATTGCGAAATATAGAAGCTATGTGTAAGAAGGTCCCAGGCTACGGATATGATTTGTTCCTCTGGCCAGAAATGATATTCAGTCAGAAAACCAAAAAAGCCCCGAAGTCAATGTGACCAAGATCCGTCGGGGTTGGAAGGACCGTTCACGGGGATTGAAGCCGGATTGAGATTGTGCCCAATGTACTTTGTGGCAGTGCCTAGGCGTCTGACAGTGTTCATATCATAACACAATCAAGCCAAAGTCAAGGAATGGCCCAGAAAATCTTTCTTCTGATTGGATTTCATGGAGCTGGGGTTACTTGCCTTAATCTTCATCATTGTCAGGAATCTGATATCGCAATTGGAACGTTTTAAACTACTTCCTGTTTTGCAAAGCAGCTCAGTAGAGCTGCATCCAAAGGTAGACCAGGGCAACAATCCCAGCTTTACAGCGTACAAGTTCCTTTCTTTGAATTCCCATACAAATGTCATACGTGCCTAGAGTAGTACTCACGTACACCGACTGAGGCGAGGTTCATTGAATATTTACCCCAAAGCCACTGCAGACTGAATGTCAGCTGAAGATCATGATATTTATAATTGTCTCCGTCTCAATTCAATCCGATCGCGTAGCTGAAACCTGATGGGGACAAGCAATCATAGCTTGTAACGTCTTTTTACAAGGTAGGTGATTACGAAGGAACAAACACTTCTTATCCGCCAGACCTACCATGGTCAACTGCGCTCAGCTTCTGATCGAGAATTTTGCCACCTCACTTTTAGGATGGGATTTCCTGTTGCATCACGTCAATAGGCTTATAAACAAAGGCATTTATGGCCTGCTACTAATTGAGTTGAGCCTGACTCAACGCTGATCAGAATGAAGTGAGGACAGGGCAAACACAAAGACGGAATGAATTCATACATACATCAATCTCTCAACCGTTAAAGCTCACACAAGCTTCTCAACCGCCTTTCACAAAGGACGACACAGGGCAAATGTCTTCTACAAACTAGTTTGTTTGTATCTATCACAACTACGTATTCATGAGCAATTCAATACACGCAACATTTTATTGCACAAACAACAAACAATTGTGAAAGAGAAAAGGCGTGACTAGCTTGTTTGTATCTTGCTTGACGTCCCATCGGGCATGTTTCCCTTTGTTCTAGCGCTGGGGCAAGGCTGAGCCACAGTCGCAACGGTGCTGCTCCCCGGTGCTCATTGAATATAAAAACTAGCCCAGGACTTCTCTCTGCCTCCCACTTCCCCTCCTTCATCCACACTAGACCACCACTTTCTCCTCTCCCTTCCTTTCTCCTTCCCTTCGGAGCACGCCCGCCATGGTGGCCCCTCACACTCCTCCTGTTACTTCTCCCCTGGCCCATCCTGGCCAAAGGCCCGCGAAACCAGTCCGCTTTGGATCCCGAAACTGCCGTCCAAAATGCTGCCTTCTTGTTCGTGTCAGAACCGCTCACCAAATGCCCATGGTTACCTCAAGTGCTACGCACTCCTACCGCTTCACCGATGACGGTGGCATGGAACTCTTTTCCGAGGAAGGCAAGCTGGATGTCCTACAGCGTCGGGTATACCCTGAGGACATGATGCCATCTTCAGAACGCCCGACTTGAATTTTGGTAAGCTCCCTCTTCAATCATTTGTACGTTCTATCCTCCATCAGCCTGGCCGACTTTTTTTACTTGGATCATCTATCACTTCTCAAAAGAATTCATCGATTGCACGTGATTCCTCCATCTTTGAATTACTATACCTCAATATCTTTCAACTTTATCCCGGTAAGTACTCAATCGATCATCATTCAAACGAACCTTTCCAAATACTAACTCTGAGGATTTTAGGCTTTCAAGAATCTTTCTAATTCTTTGACAAAACACGGAACCTACTTGACGACGGACGACCTCTCCGGAAGAAACCCAGCCCGAAGAAAAGGTGAAGTTTCCCTCCGCCACTTGCATTCGACCTGTTACTTATTCTAATTATTCATTGACCCGATTGACATTCTTTTATCTCACCTTGCCAGTAGTAGCTCCTCGACATACTCGGATACTCACCTCTCCTTGCCTTTCACAACTCTCAAAATTTTTCTTTCGATGAAAATTTGTATTCTAAATGTACTTTTATATATCTCTTGGTTATAACAAGGCTTCTGTTTTCCTTTTGGCCTGATACGATTACGAACCGTCTTAGGAATAAATATATGTTTGAATGACTGATTTTCATCATGAGCCACTGATGTGGATGCATCTATGAGATTCTGGTGTCAAAAGAAATCTGGAGTAAGACGTAGGAAAGAGTACCCAAGCACGTTTGTTGGCAATGTGATGAACCGATTCTTTGGAATGCGGGATCAGTCGCAACATCAACCGATCTGATTTGGATTTTGATTTCTGCTATGAGCTTAGGAAATTTGCCTGTCATTTTGTTCTAAGTACCTTGTCTCGGATTCGGCTGGTCTCACAAATTTACACAGTCTGCGGACGTCTCTCGAAGCCGTTGTGATAGTACATGATAATCAATCAGATTCTGTGTTTATGCGGAAGAATAGAGAGAGAGCGCAAGACAGAAGCTTCAATTGTTGCTTCGTAGGCTGTGTATCCCTCACATGCAGAAATATTGGTGCAGAAAAAGGTCCTGATGAGAAAAAGTCTCGCAATGGAATATAGGTAAAAATCACCGCGTCGCTTTAGAACACGTTAGCGCGCCCAGTGAGTCAAGGGAAGGCCCTAGAGCAGGGGTTCACCATGACCTGACTGGCGACTCTAAGGTAAAAAATCTTATTTCCCCACGGAAATCATGCTTTGACCCTTCATGACCCTTCTATGTGTTCAAAGACAAGTGGAGTCGCCAAAACATCCGGGGGTTTGGATAAAGACACGGTTTGACCGAGTCGTTTGTTCCCCAGTTGTCAAAACAGTTCAAACAGGGTGTTGTTATCCCGGCGTATGCTCCACAAGGCAGACCGACGCCGGTCAACCAGGCATTTGCAGGGCATTGCCATCTGTGTTTTGTTGATGGATTGGCGGCATCAAGCTTCTTGTCGAATACACTGCTGGGAAGCAAGAGGGCCTTAACCGTCCCTGGCAAGTGTTCCAAGTTCTGTCTACCAACTGCCGTATTGATCTCGGTTCAGCTGTAGCATCGGAAGTTCCATGATACGGTCACGGTAATGGTTTTTTCCCTGCCTCGAGCTACTTATCCATTGTAGCTAACGCCTTGTTCCCTCCAAGTATTGGTTACGGTTATCGAACAAGTGCTTTCCACTCACTACCAACATTTTCCCTTCAATCACCTGGATTAGGGTTTGCGGAAGACGGCCCACTACAAAAGCCCGAAGGCTTCTTCCCCTTTGGCAGCGCAATTCATCTGTCATCCCTTCTTCCCCAGTGTTTCTCCACCTTTCAGTTGTCTTTCTTCAACCCTCTAGTAATCAGTAACGAAGAGAAAAGTGCCCCCAAAACTCCTTCACCAAGTCAATCCTCACAATCCGTGATTTGATTTCTTCTTTTCCCCAAACACCTCTTCCAGATCCGCTTTTCTTCTGCCAAAATGCAAGCAGTAACAGTATTTTTCGGTTCCCTGAGTTTCTTGTTCCTGTTAACAGCAACCATACTTATGTAAGTTTTCAAACTCTCTGGATGCTCCATTTTTACGGTGTAAGCTTTGCCCTTACGCTTTCTGCATTTTGACTTGATTTTTAGGATTGCTTCAAATTGCACCGTTCCAACGTCTGATGAGATTTATTTCATGAGGACGACGATGTCCGCTGCGCTTACTCGAGAAGTACTCAATCTGATCCCTCAAAGCGTCGCCGTCTTCGACCGCATAACCGTCCGGATTGGCCTATTGGGATATTGTATCAATGGTCAGTAACTTGTCTTTCCTCCATTGCACTTCGTGTCCATGACTGAAAAACAATAACTAATCGCGACGCTCTCATATAATTCATTCAGATACATGTACGGAATACCACCTTGGTTATCGGCTTCCCGCCTTGTTGATGGGCGGGCCTGTCGGATTAGATTTCCTGAGTAGAGAGACAACAACAGCACTAGTCATCAATCCGATTTTCACCGCATTCAGTTCAGCTTGTCTTCTCGCCTTCCTGGTCTCGATTTTCTTGAACAAGCCAGCGATCGTATTCATTCTCCTCATCCTTAACACCATCCTCGCGATGATCTGTCTGATAATCGATTTCAGTATCTTCGTCCGCGCTTACTGGCTCGTACGTAACTCTCAAAGCGGTCTGTTCGGCATGGTCTCGGTCGAATATGGGAACGCCCTGTGGCTCATGCTTGCCGCCGTTATCTTGACTATCTTGTCGACACTCTTCTTCGCCTTCACACTTCGGAGAGGCGACGAATCACGTTCAAATAAAGGAAGAAAAGCCGGCCGAAACGATGGTCCATGAAAAACAATTCATTTTCTGTATAACCCCCCCCCAACAAAAAAAAGGCATACCGACCTGACAACTCAGCCGGTTTAAATTAATTTTCTTCGAGCCATTTTCCGTTTTTTCTTCTTTTTATCCTTATCCTTTTCTCTTTTCTTGTTGCAAATCAATTAATAACTTAATATTCCACTGAGTGGAGGGCAGATTTTTTTGTCTTTATTTCATTTCTTCTTTCTTCTTTCTACTTCTTTCTTCTTCTTTTTTTGGATGTTCTTCATTGTGTATTTACTTTCTAAGCTTTTTTTTTCTTTCGGGTTGAACTAAAGCGTGCCTTCAATATCACAAACAGAAATTATTGATTTTAAGCCAATTGAGACAACATCTCTTCACACATAAGGTACTTGAACCCAAATTTATGCAGGGTGACATTTGTAATCAAATGACAAATACCATATTGAAAATCACATCAAGTTGTACAAAAAAGGTTGGCAAATTCTTCTTGTGGGGTCAGAAGCGCCTTTGAGGATTTTTTTAAGAAAAAATAAGAATTTGATCTCACCAATCACTTGTTAAGAATTTGATATAGCCAATCACCTGCTATAAAGAATTTGATATAGCCAATCGCTTGAATAAACCCTGATTGAATGTTTTTTTGGGAGAAAAAGAATCACTACCAAAGCCAACAACTAGTTGTTTGGTTCACATGCAAGAGGAGTGTCAATTTGTATTGGTTTTAGCCAGCATTCTGATTGCAAAAGATGTTTATCTGAAATCCTTGGGTGAAATTTTGTGCCTCCATGAGGCCCCAAGCAGAGATGATTGATTCTTGTGGGGCAAGTGAGGAATTTGGCCACATTGAGATACATTTGTGAAGTTGCAATTTATCTTCCTGAATAAATCTGTGAGACATTAATTATGAATTTCAGGCTGGCTCACTGTTTCAAATTTTAAAGGGCCTGAAAATGGTATCTCAATCCCAGGATAAAACCCTTTGGTTGCCTGCAAAAGAACCCTGGCAAGCACCCCAAGAGGGGGGGGGGGTGTTAAAAAAGTCCTGGTTTTGGCAAAATTCATACCTGTTATTTTTTGGAGGGTAAATCCATATCTTTTCAAGGGTATGCTCAAGCCAACCCCCCCCCCGCCCAAAAATAGGGCTTGCCCCAACAAAATCCTGGGTTTGAGGTCCAAATTTCAGATTTCACCTGTCTTGACCAATTTCACATACCTAAAATAAGCTATTTCAAGAGCACCTTTTTGGTCCAAAATAATGTTCATACCTTTTCCATGCTTCTTTCAGTCCAGTAGGATTTTGGGATTTTTGCCCATTCACCATATACTTTTTTTGAACAGCCCCCTATTGGGGGGCTTGCGGGGTGCTGCTACAAAGTTGTTCAGAAGACAACCAGGTAATTAAAGGTAATTAAAGCATGCCCTGGGAGGGGATGTTTGATGAGAAACAGGACTCTGAGGGACAATAATGGATAAGATTACATGTACTTCAGACTAAAAAGGACTATGTACATGCTCTGGAAGGTGGTCTAGGTGAGACCCTTTGGTAAACCCTCTCTGGGTTA